CTGTAACATTTATATCAAACCAGAACGTTTATAAAGGCGCTATCAGGATACTTTGCAAAAACGATACATATAATTGTGAACTAATCAATCCTCATCACATCAGTCATTACATATCAACATATATCTCGGATTGTCGTCAAACATCGGACACGTACAATAAAATATAGTATTGACAAGAAGGGAACAACGAACGTATACTGCATACATTATTTTATTTTGACCACGAAAAATATTGGTATCGTTAAATAAACGTGCTCTATCTCAACCTTTAACGTCAAATATTTCAGACGTCAAATCATTTCACCAAGCATTCATATATCTTAAAAAAAAACCTTAAATATTTAGACAATGTTCAAATAAATATTATTCTATTTAAATAAGTTTATTTTTATATTAAAAAAATCGATAATATTTTATACATCGTTGATATAGGGATTGTTTTCTTTTTATTATCTCTAATTGTTTTATTTAAAAACAAAACATTATAAAAAATAATATCAATGTTTGATAATATTATATAAGTGATAAGAATAAGGAGATTTCATTCTTCATATATAATTATATATTTAACAACACTATTTCTTATTTACATGTTTATTAGGAATATTGATTACGGTTATACAGAAAAAAATGTCTACATTTCAATTAATATATATATGCTAATTACGCATGGAAAATTAGTTATTATTAACACTAAGGTTGTATGAATACAAAATATAACAAAAAAACTTTATATGCTAAATGCAAAATGAATATTTCCAAGGTTGTTCTTTCAATAGATAAGATTTATTACAATAGTAAAATATTTTTATTTTCAACGTAAAAAATTATGTCATTAATTTTACTTTTTATAACAGTAGAATAATATTTCCATTAGTTAATAGTTAACTCGAGAATGATTTGTTTTTAATTATCAATTTGTTTTAATCTCCTTTCATTGTACGTAGTATTCTACTATAAACTAATTTCGGTGCATCAACAGCCCACATGAAGTCCACATGATTAAACTTTTCAAATGGTACTTTGTACACATCAATGACGTTTTTTAATTCCTTTGATACTTTAAAAAGATCCTAAAAATGTCAAAAACATTATGTAGAAACAATAAATGAATAAAATGTTAATATGTTTAAATATTATGGGGTTGTCCGGAACGTTCGTGCCGATTTTGATGGGAAAGATTGAAACGCAACGGATTTAAGTTTTTATAAATATTGGGATCTCTAGCACTTAAATACGCTATCTGGTGGCTAAATTCAAAATTAGAGTAAATAGGTCGAATTGCTACGCCACGTAGGATCTCTAGCACTTGAATACACTATCTGGTGGCTAAATTCAAAATTAGAGTAGATAGGTCGAATTACTACGCCACGCCCCTGCCAGAGATATATATATATATAATTATATATAATTTAATAAATATATTTTATAATATATTTTATAATTATTTTATAATATATTTATTAGATTATATATAAGTGCCATTATGTTCCACAAACCTATCTCCATCTTTATGGGTAAATTCAAAATTTCATCTTTCCAGAACTTCTCAGGTTTTTCCAGCAAAAAAAAACTTTAATACATATACAATACATACCTTAACATTAATAAACCAATCATTTGAGCCATAATATAATGCTATAGGTACTGTAATTGTAGAAATATTATATTCAGGTGGTATAATACTATTATACATTTGTCGATTCTTTTTCGTGCCGTAATCAAATTGTCGAAATTTAGCAGATTTAACTTCTTGCAAAAAGTGTATCAATGTTTTAGTTGAAGCTCCAGCTGGTGCATGAGACAAAATTACAGGTAATAACGTCTAAAAATAAACAAAATATTTGTAATATTATCAAAATGTTTTTAAATCGATAAATAATAGAAACAACTAACTGTGTTCATTTGAGCTTTATCAAATCCAGCTAATAAAAATACTATGTTACTGCATACTGCAGTTCCCAATGAACTCAAATCGCAGCCATATTTAACGAGAAATTTTATTACAGAACTTTGTGGAAGAAACTCATTTTGTCCAAATAAACGTGTGAGAAACTAGAAAGAAAAAAAAAAGAAGCAGATAACATTCGTTAATTATGTATATATGTATATGTATATATTAAAAAGTTAGTAAAGATTACCTGTAAATTATTAGAAAAAGGTGCAAAATATCGTGCAGGACTTTTCATTTGACTCAAATAAATAGCTGGTCCAAGACTAAACATCATTTTAATCCTACTAGTAAGATCAGATCTCATGGTTGACATTACATAAAATGCCGTTGATCCCATAGAATGACCAATATAAGTTAAATTACTTTGTTTCAGATTTGTAATATAAGTTATCATTGCTGGTAAATCGTATATACCCATTTCGTGCCAACTAATATAAAAAAATATTATTAAAAAAATATATTTATTTTTATTTTTTATGTATATACCTAAAATCCCAAAATTTGGCATCATTCGGTGACAAATTTTGATGTGCTCTTGAATAAGTGTTACCACGGAAATTACCAAGCCATACGTCATATCCATCGTCGGCTAATAAATAAGCTAAATAATAAATAAAATAATTATTTGACGAAATGTACCAAATTTCGAAGAATCTTATCATTTAAAAAACATGTTTATAATAATTTAAAAAATTGTTAACGCGTACCAAGACCTTTTTTCGGACCGGGAATCACCCAATCTGCAGAACTTGCTAATAAACCATGTTGAACTAATACAGGGTGTGAATTTGGTTTCCCTCGAATTCTATGAAGTGTCAAAAGATAATAATCTTCTGTTACAACAATATGTGTTTCAGAAGGATAACCGTACTTTGTTATCAATTGTTCCTGAAATAATTATCAAAAAATTTAGATTCAAAATATAATCTTATATTATTCTTTAATTTCGTAACTTCTACAGAATAATGTTTTTTTCTTTTTTTTTTTTTTTTAAGAAACAAGTCAACTTAATAGTTTCAAATTTAATTCTAGTAGAATACAAGAAAATTCTAGATATTACAATTATTAGTCATAACAAATATATGAATCACAACATATTTTTATTTGAACTCACAGTAAAATGATAAAGTGTACTTTTATGTAAATTATTTATGAATCATTTATCATTCGTTCATCATTCACAAAGAATAAGAATTGAATTTATTGTGAATAAAAAAGATATTAAAAAATTCATAATTCAACATTCATAATTCTTAAAATTTATTAATGTTAATACTCACCGTATTAAGATCGACATCTGGATTATGTTTTCCGTTAAAATCAATATAATTACTTAATTCAAACATGTCTAATACTTCATTGTTTATAGAAATATCCTCCAAACATTCGACAAAATTAACAAGAATATAAATTGTACAAAAATATACGAAAATAAGCCTCATCTTGATAAAAATATTTTAACACATCGAACAAGGAATTAAATTAAAAATAAAATTATATTTTAAAAAAGGGTTATTGAATACTATTTACAGTCGTATCTTTTTCACTTATTTTCATTATATAAATCCATCAAAATAAAATATAAAAATATAACATGTTCGACCTATGCTCTATTGAAATTGATACGACTTCAACGACAAACGTATTACTGTCGAATTAATCTCTAACAAGAACGTTTTATAAATGTGCAGTCATATTTACTAACTCAAGACAGAAATAACTTATCCCTTATGATAATCGTTATCAATAATTGTCGGTTTTGATATAATTTTAAAGGTTAATTTGTTTCCGTCAATAATTATAAATAACATTCTTTATCATTAACAATTTTCTATTAAATAATTTGTTAATCTAAAGTATAAATCTTGTTAAATTATTTTGCTTAGAAAAAAAATAATATATATTTTTTTATAAAACAAAGGGTTTGTTTATTTTAGAAGCTTATAGTACTTGCCAAAATGAATAAACAATGACGAATTAACTTCTATGATTTATGAACATTCAATACACTAAATAAATCTCTTGATAATATATTTTAAATGTTCATAAAGGAATTTACTTAGAAATACACTAATTCAAAATTATTAAAATAGGTTTATTTATAAATCATATATTATCTAGTTGAAGTATGTAATACTGTTTTATTTTGTATTTAAACAGGACAGTATAGTTATGTCAAGATTTAGCTAATTATATGTAATAAAATATTATTACATTAGCAAATAAAAAAAATTATGTAAATTCTCGACAAAATAAAATTTGTTATGCTATATAATAACATTTTCTTTTTATCGTATCACATATCATTTTGTTTTTATTACCGTCTTTGTAATCACATGTTACAATCGTGATAACGTGCACCTGCGATTTCAAATCTTACACTTCTGGTTTATCTCTTTTTTTTTTAATTTGTATTATAGTTTACAGAAAAAAAAGACAATAAAAAGTAAAGAATTGGGTTAAATGATTTATCGTCTTTTAAACCCATTATCGAATTTGATGTGTTCTTAATCTGTTTACATTTACTGAGATAATATTGATTTAAGACTAAACAAAAATAGAATAAAAATCATATCAAATTCCTAAAAATATTTAATCAAAAATTAAACAACAACAAAAAATATATACCTCGATCAATTTATTATTAAAAAAAACTATTGTATCATTCATTGGAACAAGTGTGAAATTATTTGTTAGAACACAAATATAAAGTATTCTTCATTAAACATAATTAATCTTCTTCGTATACGCGAATGCAATAATGTAAAAAAAAAAATTTAATTTAAAAGTAATCGACGAGATATCTCATCCAAAGTCTAACCTTATCGTATTTCTATGCTCATTCATATATTTATCTTGTTAATAATTACAAAATGGTAAAAACCACATTGAAAACAAAGTCTCGAGTACAAAAGATTAAAAATGCATACGACTTAAGATAAGATCATATACATAGATTTATTAAACTTAGTATGTTTCACTTTAGATTTGTTAAGAAAACAAAACAAAATATCTTCACATTGGAACTTACATATCAAATGAGAAAAGATTTATATTATATAATATCTTTGTCGAATAAAAAAAAAGGTATCGATTAAATGATGACAAAAGGGTCGGTAATTAATTTAAAGTGAAACTTTTCAGGGCGTTAATTGAGTGATGAATAAAAATGGGGGGATGATGACAAAGGAAACTTTGTCCATGCGAGTCTACGCGTTTTTATTGTTCTTTTTTTCTTGGATTAGTCATATCTTATCAATACGTTTCAATTCAAATTTTTAATTCAAAGATATAAATAATAATATCGTTAATCCGTAATAAAAATGATTAATAATTTACACATATATTTTCTACTATTTTAAATAATATTAAATATGATTGATTATTATATTGTATTGTACGAAATTTGTATAGTGAGTATTACATAGATTAAAATGTAAACATCAATACTTTTAATATCTAAGAATATGTACAATATTATTCTTATTCTATCCTTATACTCTAACTATCTTTCATTGCACGTAGTATTTTACTATAAACAAAGTTCGGGGCTTCTATAGCCCACAAAAAATCCATATGATTAAATTGTGTATATGGTATCTTGTATATATCGATGACATTATTTAATTCACTGTACAATCGCAGAACATCCTAAAGATAAAAAGAAAATTGACATAAGTATCTGAATACAGGTATTTATTATGTTATTAGGTGTTACGTACTTTAACACTTGCACACCAATCGTTGTTAGCATAAAACAATATTATTGGTACCGAAATTTTAGATGTATCATAATTGGGTGGCTCCGTGCTATTATAAATTTTTAAATTTTGTTCCGGCCCATAATCAAATTGCTGAAACTTTCCAGATTGAATTTCTTGTGCGAAATGCACTATTGTTTTAACCGAAGCACCAGCTGGTACATGTCCAAAAATTACCGGTATTAATGACTAAAATATAATACAAAAATATATAAATGTGTTTTAATTAATTTACTTAACGTTCAATGTGTATATAATTCATTATTCAACATACATAGTTGAATTGAGATTTATCAAATCCAAAAATGGCAAATAATATATTGCTGCACATTTTATGTTCCAAGTTATCAATATCACAACCATATTTGGCAAAATACTTTGTTAACTTATCATGAGGAAGAAATTCATCTTCCCCTAAAAAATGTATTACCGACTACAATTGAAACAAACAAAAAATTATTTCAATTCATAAAATGTAGAAAAATTTGCATTAAATTTCCAATATTAAAAAGAGGTAAGAAGTTACTTTTAAATCACGTGCGAAAGGAGCTAACAAACGTAGAGGACTTTTTATATGTTTCATGTAAGCAACTGGAGCAAGACTGAACATCATTTGAACTTTGCTAGCAATATCAGATCTCAATCTGGACATTACATAAAATGATGTTGTTCCCATAGAATGACCAATATAAGTTAAATTACTTTGTTTCAGATTTGTAATATACGATATCATCGCTGGTAAATCGTATATACCCATTTCGTGCCAACTAATATAAAAAAATATTATTTAAAAAATATATATTTTTTTATTTTTTATGTATATACCTAAAATCCCAAAATTTGGCATCATTCGGTGACAAACTTTTATGTGCTCTTGAATAAGTGTTACCACGAAAATTACCAAGCCATACATCATATCCATAATCGGCTAATATAAAAGCTAAAAAATACAGTAAAAAGATATAAATAATAAGAACTCAGTGAAAAATTTGAATTTTATGGAATACAAATAGAAAATAATGTTTAAATTAAAATCGTTAATGTACCAAGACTTTTTCTTGGACCAGTTAATACCCAATCAGCAGAACTTGATAATAAACCATGTTGCAATAATATAGGATGTGATTTCAATTTTCCTGGTATTCGATGAAGCGTCAAAAGATAACCATCTTCAGTAGATATTGTATGTCCTTCGGAAGGATATCCTTCCATTCGTATAATTTCTGGCTGAGAAACAAAAACAATAATAAATGATTTAATTACAAAATATAATATATAAGCATGGTAACAAATGTAACATATTTTTCAATGTTAAATTATACAATTTTATATTGTATACAGTACAATTAAATAAATGTAAAATTAAATACTTGAATTTTTTTTATATAAAAGTACAAATACAATTTAGATTAAAAAAAAAAAAATGGAATTTGAAAAGCGACATCTATATACTTATCACAAGATTACTTTTTTTTCAAAGTAAATGTAAATATAAAAAATGTTAAAATATGATTGAAATTATATTTTTTTTTCTGATGATAAAATGTTGCCTTTGTTATCTCTTACTGATGAATTATTTATATATTATACATTCATTTCCTATAAATATAAATTATAGATAATAAAAATACATGTACAAGAGAAAAGATAAAAAAAAAAGTAATACATTTAAATATTAATCAAATAAATTGCTCCAATCACGAATAAGAAAATTTATCTTTTGTAGTTTATTGATCAAATTTATATGTAAGATAAATAAAAAGATATTTTTACTTACTGTACTAAGATCGACGTATGGATTATATGATTCATTATTTAAAACACTATTATTCAATGTCATAAACTTTTCAATCATTTGAACATTTGGAATATGCACCGAAGTTTTAACCTCAAAAATTAAAATGCAAATAATAAAAAGATATAAGTATATCGTCTTCATCTTAAATTCTTAATAAATTATTAAATGTTGCACTTGTTTCAATCAAAACTGATTATGAATCCTAACATAATCAATTGTTTCAAGATATAAATGGTATACATTTATATTATATAATTTTTAATAATTATTAAAAAGTAATACACATCAAATTATACCGGTAAAAATGTAAACAAATATTTATAGATTTAGTTTTTACTATAATACATTTATATCACTAAATAAATGTTTTCTTTCTTTATAATATACTTATATCTACTTGCATACTATGTTTATTATTCACCAAGTTCTCATGCGCAGTATCGAAAAATTCATTTTATTTTAATTATTAATTGTATTTATATAATAAAAGAAATTAATTTAATAAGTTCGATAAAAATTCATATTTAAATAATTTATATTTAAATAATATATTATACAATAATAATAAAATATACAACACAAATTCTTTGTGTTCTAATATGAACAATGAAATAATAACAAGAAAAATATATTGGCGCGAAAATCGTATTTTTTGTCTCTCTCTCTCTCTTTCTGTTTATTCGTTTCAAATATTAAATATGATCTTATTGACATTTTTTTACAATTAACAAATATATTATAAAATTGTATTGATTAAACTTAGTTTTATATAAAAAGAAAAGATACTACAGATATATACAAACATATATATATATATATATATATATATATATA